GAGGAGGGAGCAGGGTGTGTGTGGGCTCTGGGTGATGGAGGGGGGAGGCTCCCACGGCCCTGGCTGACCCAGGCTGTTGCTTGTGCCCCGCGGAGCCCAGCGGCCATGTGCCTTCCTCCTCCCTTGCCCTGCGCTGGGGATGGGGACACTGAGCTAGGGAGGGGAGGTCACGCCAGAGTCACCAGGAGACCCTCAAGCACCCTGGGCAGGAGCAGGCCCACGGTCCTGGCTGCAGCCAGGCACTGCCCCAGTGTCCCTCCCAGCACGTATCCTGACACAACTGAGCACCCCATCCCTGTCCCCAGCACACTCCTGCCCATCTCCACCACCACCCGCTGCCCAAGGGACAGTCTAGGGGCACTGGGAGAGGTCTCACCTGCCAGACAGGACCCCAGCCTGGTGGCACCAACCCCACGGTGTCCCCCCATGTGCCTCCAGCCATGTCCTGGAGGCACAGCCCTGGCAGGCTGAGCCCGGCACATTCATTGCACTTGTGACCTGCCCTCCCGGCCTGCTGGCTGCAGGGCCAGACCACCCCGACCAGCCCACGTCTGTCTCTCCCTGCCCGCCAGCTGGTATTTTTAGATGCCGTTAGTGGTGTCTCGCCGCTGTCTCTGCCTCATCCGTGAATTATTTAGCAGCCAAAAGTGGGGAGCTGTGGCTTGGCGGGAGGTGTAGGGGACGTCGGGGTGAGGACAGGCAGGATGCCTGGGTCCCCCCGAGGCCATGGGGAGATGCAGCGGGGAGGAGAGATCCATCCCATCCCATTCTATCCCATCTGGTCCCATCCTGTCCCATCCCATCTCGTCTGGAGATTTAAAGCGAAGGGAAGATTGAGCTTTGTGGGTGCTGCACTGCGGGGCCCTGCAGCCACCACCCGTCAGCTCCCATCCCGTCACCCCACAACCAGCTAATGACCCCGCATCGAGTGACCGGCACCACCGTGCCAGCATCACTCCGGTACGCAGTGGGGTTCCCCGGTGTGTGGCTGTCCCTTGGGATGGGGATGGGGGCATGGATGCTGCTCACCCTCCCACTGGGGCGTTCAGGGGCTGATCCTGGGTCGCCGCGGTCACCTCCAGATCCGAGGGACTAAGCGGACTTTGGGATGAAGGGGACAAGCCAGCGGGACAACCAGCCAAAAAACTGGCCCGTGCCGAGGGGAGGGGGGAGCCCATCTGCTGCGGACGGAGGCTGCGAGGGTAAAGGTTTGCCGGCACTGGGACAGGAGGAAAATCCCGCAGAGCACCCTGCTCTGATGGAGGAAACTGTCAAGCCCGGAGGCTTTTCTGGGATCAGATGGCCACATTTTCATTAAACTGGCCCTCGGCTGCTGCTGGCATTGGTGGGAGGTGCTCTTAGATGTATTTTTTTTTTCTCCCGTGCCTCAATTTCCCCACTGGTAAGAGCTCGCTACTCGGGATTGCAGGACACAGCAGCACCTTTCACACACACGGATGTCCGTGTGTCCCCCGTGGGACAGTACAGTGCCATGCGTGTCCCTTTCGGTGACAAGTGTCCCCTGCAGTGACAGGACAGTGCCACCCGTGTTGGTGACAGTGCAGTGCCACCTGCTGTCTCTCTCTCAGGGGATCCCGTGGCCCTTGGCGTGGCCACCCATGCTCCTGGCGTGGGGTCCCCGGCCGAGCACCTCGGGGCCAGCGGTGCCCCAGGGGCTCCATCCCCAGCGTCGGGGGGCAGAAAACAGTGGCCAAAGCCTCCCCGACAAACGAAGCCACATGCACACACAAAGGTGCACACACGTGAGTCCCCTTCAAGGCCACCATCACACCATGAGTAGTTCATACCGGTGTTCCCTCAGCCATAAATTACCAGAAATACTGATTTAGGGGCAAAAAAAGAGCATTTTAACCATTCAGAGGAAGAGATAAAAACTAAACACAGGAGGACTGGCATTTCCTAGGATGGAAACTCCAGGTATCACTGTCCTCTCCGCTCCTCTCCTCCAAAAGCCACAGGAATGGTTGTGACTGTACCACCACCCTACCACTGCCTTGGTGGCATCTCACCACCCACGTACCTGTGTGACCTTCTCGGTGACATTCTGGGTACGCTCCATCACCTTGTGGGGAGCGATTATCTCGATCTCCGTGGTGGAGCCCGAACGGTGCTTCTCTAGGTTGAACTCCACAAAGTTGAGCGTGAACTGGGGGATCTGGCTGATGGTCCGGTACTTCATGAGGTCGGAGTCCGAGGTGGAGTTCGGGGGGTTGGGTTTGACGTGGGAAGCCTCTGAAAGAGGACAGAGAGGAGCGTTGAGAAAGGCAGTGTGAGCAAGAACCAATTCGCAGAGCCCTGACCTCAGTAGTAGGACATCCAGGAGCTGGGGACCACCACAAAGTGTCACCAGAAGGTACCAATGTCTGCCGGGCCATAAAGGCTTGGCTTCTTCAGGGTGGCTCAGACATGGGATGCCCAACTCAAGATGCTTGAGAGTGGGGGGGCTGCTTTTCAGACACACCACCCATCTTTTCGCCATTAAACCTCCTTCAGGGGGCTCAGACTAGCTGCCAAAATACAGAGGCACCCAATATCCTTTGCCAGCCCTGAAGACTTGGTGGCTTGGGGACCAGCCTCAATGAGACCCGCTAGGGAGGGATGCCGAAACTGGCATGAAAACGGATGAAGGAGGAGGTGGGCCTCCTCCACCCTTGCATGCTTCAGCCTGACCAACCTAGCTCCTGAGCTGCTGCCTTCGTTTTTGGCCACCAATCTGAGCCAGGAGCTGGATGATGTCCCCACGCGGATCTATCCTCCACCCCCAGGCTCCAGGTAGGGAGGTCAGAGCTTTGTCTTGAAGAAGAGCTGTAGTAGGGCTGGATCCCGGCAGTTTTCCCTGGGGATCTGGGCACCTGCCTCTCTGGGTCAGCTCAGTGCAGGACCAGGGAGGAGGTCGGTTCATGGTCAGGCTTGGGGCGATGTGTAGTCATGGAAGGGAGCGTGTACCCACACCCAGGGCTTCAGGAACATCCCCAAGCACCGTAACCAGTGTGTCCCAACCTCTCTATCTCCTACAGGCAGGGCAGGGTTATATTTTCAGTTTTCTTCCCTTTCTATCCCTGGCACTCTGACATTGACCCAAGAAGTGTCACAGGCAGGAGGTGTCTGAAGACACTGTGAAGGTGCCCAGTTAGCACCGGCCATCCTGCTGCCACCCTTCTCCTCCCTGCTCATTCCCCTTCCCTCCCGCTACGTTCTGTCCCCTCCTGAGGGTCCGTAACCTCTGACTGTTTGAGGATCATGATCCCCCGTCCTGTTTTCTCAAGCCAGACACCGCAGACTGATCTCTCTCCATCCCCAATTACTGACGCTTCTCTTGCCTGACCTCCATCTTATTTGTCAGCATCTCTCTCACGAGAACAAGAGGTCTGGACGTGAACACCATGGTGGAGGTACGTTTCCTCCAGCCCTACACGGTGGCCTGGCCGGTGTCTCGTCCACCTCCAACACATGGACACAGCTCGCATTGCACATGCCTGCAGACCCCTTCCCTCCCTCCCGGGGAGGTGGGATGGCATCGGGATGCCCCTCGTGTGGGGCAGCCAAACGCAACCTCACGCGGTCTCACGTTTCATGCACAACATCACGGATGGTTCTACCCAAAGAGCAGGACCTGCCTACGCAGGGAATCACGTGGAGACCAGCGGGTTTTGGGGAGAAGACCCCAGCTTATCTCCACTTTGCAGAGGGAAAAGCAGTGCAGGGTAAGAGACCTCCCCCCCGAGATGTGCCGGGGCCATCGCCCGGGACCGTGGCTCCCGCAGTAGGACCGACAACTCCGGGGTTTTTCCCCTACCTGAGTTTGCCCTCCTTTCCCTGAATTTTCTCTGGAACTCAGACCTCGCAGCCTCAAAGTTGTCCAAGGAGGAGACCCTGCGGAGGCTGTGGAAGCTGCCCCCCGGGCGAGACCGAAAGAAACCCCACGCAGAGTACGACCCTCGTGGGCCCAGCAAGGGAGGCTCTTGTTTCGGGGACGAGTGTTGTAGGGTGGGGTCGGCCTCCAGGCTCGGCCTCCGCTCCTTTTCCAGGAGGGATTCGGTCTCTGACTGCACACAGTTCTCCTTGGGCGATGTCTTCAAGTCCCTCAAAATCAGGGAGTCACCACCAGGCTTTAAGACAGCCGGGAGAAAGCGTTTTATTAGAAGGAGTCCTCGCGTGCTGGGGGGGAAGGAGGGGGAGCTGGGGGAGGTAAGAGGAGGGGGCAGAGGGCTGGGAAGCGCTGCGGTTCCTGAGGTCACCTCCAACCGGGACCAGGACCTGCTTTGCGGCGGGGCGGCCGCGGCCTCCGGGACTTGGCCGGCGCTTTGCGCCTACCGGAGGCGGGGCGGCCGCGGGGGGGTTTGCAAGGCGATGCTGCGCAGCTGGGAAGCAGGCCAGAGCAAGAAGAGAAGAGGAGACCCTAGGGATAGGCTTGCCTGGAGTACCTGCCTTGCCATGCCTTTTTCCGAGGTGTCCCTACGTCCCACCGCTGGACCTGCCCTTCCCTCACCTGCTGCAAGAGCTCAGCATCGGTGCCCGGGGTCCTGAGCTGGCGTCTATGGGAGAGGGTGTGCTCTGCACCAGGAAGCACTGGAGGAGCTGCAGGGCTTGCAAATTTGGCAGTATGTGGTCCTCCTTCTCCTACAGCAACCCTTAGCCACTGCTAAACCTTCTCCCCTGGAGACCTGAAGAGTTCCCAGCCTTTAACGACTTCTGCAATGGGGTGCACAAAGCAACCACCTTCTGGAGCAGAAACCTACGGGTCTGTGCCCACAGCACTCATACCCACGGGAGGGACCGGGGCACTTCTCACCATCCCTAAGGACCTTACTGCAGGTTTTAGGATGGAGTTGCCTGGAGGGGCTGGCTGCTGGCTGCCCCTGCATCTGCTGGGCTCTCCCCACTTGACCGAGCTCCACCAAAGGAGTAGATCATCAGGTTGTCCTCAATGCACATCTTCCACGTCTGTACACCTGAAACACTGCAGTGCACCATGCGTTGCAACCTGGGGGTACCCAGAGCCTTTAGTAGCGCTGGTGTCTGTAGGAGCCACATACCCGGAGCGTCTGATCACACTACACGTCTTCAACTTGCCATAAGCACAACCTCTGAGAAGACAGGCACCTTTCACCTCATCTTATCTGTAATTTCAGGAAGCAGCTTTATCCAGGCTGTCTGGATACACCCAGCACAGCGAGAAGCTGGTGCCTGGGGATGCGTTAGCAGAGCAAAAGCCTCCTGCCCACAGCCCTGCCCCTCCAGCTGTAGCATTTCAGAAAACAACACGTCTTTGCCCGGAGGTACCCTGAGCCCTTTTGACAGTCAAGAAGCCACCAAGAACAGCAATCTCTAAAGAGGTCCCACCAACATTTTTTCAATCTCATCGTGTCAGCAATGACAGCGTCACCCTCCATCACGGAAAGCACAGTCTTTGCTGGAGGACTGAGAAGCCAGAGCTGCCTGGCCCCTGGCCAGGACGACGTGGGGAAATGTCCCCTTCCGAGGTTTGCCTGCAAGTCCCTGCCGGTCCCTGCTCAGAGCAGACCCGCTCCAGTCTCCTGCAGTCACCAGCACGTCCCTTCCTCGAGGTGGGGACAACTCCCTGGAGCTCCATCATCCTGGACATCTCATACTACGGAGCCAGACCTTCCTCCCAGCTTCGGCAGCCGTGCCCGCCGGCTTGGCACGGCTCCCCCTCCCCCCCCCACCGCCAA